CTACGAACGCAAGCTGTACGTACAAGTTTCACGCGGCAGCACTCAGACCCTACGGCGCACCCTTTTAGCTGTGCGCGCCAAGTCTCAAAAGCGCTAACCCCAGTTTGCCCGACAAGGGCTCCCGCCCCCCCATTGACAAAATGCCTAACAGGCCGGGCGCGAAACGCGCCTCGGCCCGTCAGGCCGGCGTGAGGTCTGCCGTAGCCATGTTGGTAGCCACACCTCTAGAGGATTCTTTGGAATCCCAGAGGTACGTTTGGAATGAGTCAGAAGCCCATCGCCCGAAGCGCTTCACAATTGCAGCGTCTTTATAAGCTGCCCAGAGCGCCGATGCGCCACCGAATCGGAGGCTGTGAGTTTTCAGATCTCCCGGTTCCTCCCCCACGGCTCTGGCGGCTTTCACCAGGAGGGCACTGATGGCTTCGCGGCTGATAGGTCTTCCTTCATCATCACGGAAGAGTGGCTCGCTTTCTTCGACGCCCCCCTAGTATCGATTTGGAAAGCAAACAAAAATGTTGCGGGCAGCCTGGACGGGGCAAAGATCCAGCCCTGTAGCAAAATGGTGCCTTGTTTCGCCACGGTTGTAAATGTCAGTCTTGGATCCCCGGATATGCAGGGTGATCTCGGTGGCGGCTTGCAAGTCATGCAGCTTGCACGGTTTGCCGTTGCAGCTGAGGATCACATCTTTGCCCTTCAGACCCTTGCTCTGATCCGTGTAGCCCACGTCAAGGTACTCTGACGCCCGAAGGAGGAAGAACCAACCTAGGGTCACAGCCCCCCAGAGGAGGGCGGCATCATGGGACGCCAGGGAACCTTGCAGTAGATACGCTCTTAACCATGAGAGCATCCTTGGAGTGACAGGTCGGCGTCTCTCCTTGGTGCCGTACCTCCTCTTGAGACCCGCCAGGACGAGGCTTAAACGCGGGGTATGGGCAGTAGGGTCCGGAAGGCCTGCCGTGAGATGCAAGGATCTCATGGCGGCAAGCCGAACCTTGACCGTGCCAGGTGCTCGGTCTCCATTGACTGCCGTGTGCAGGGCAAACTCAATCAGCAGCTGCTCCTCCGTTGCATCGTATCGGCGCACATTGCGCCAAGGTGACAAGCCCCTGCGATTGCAGAAGAGTTGCCACCAAACCCATTGGGCTTGGTAGGCTTTCTGGGTAGCTTGGGCGTACCGATTGAGCATGACCGACAGGCTTTCAGCTTCCCACTCATCTTTCCCTTGCAGAGTGGCCAGGCGGAAGTCCCCTTTGGATTTGCTCATTTCTTTAGCCTTTGAAGGCCCTCCAAGAAAGGGGACCTTGACCCGCGCCGGGCCCCCCTTGAGGCTGCTTGCACTCGGGCTCCTTGGTTTGGCCGCCACGTCTTCCTGGATCTCCGTATCGGAAGCGGCAAAACGGACCCGCTTTCTAGGTCGGATCTGAACTCCGACTCTCCGGTCCGGGTCGGCCGCCGGGATCTCACGGTTGCAGGTCAAGGTGCCGGGCGGGATACCCGCCTCGGCACACCATTCCCCGCCATCTTCGGAAGGGGCGGATCTGGCACGGCAACAGGGGGCCCAACACCCCCAGCAGACGGCGGTGGCTATCAGGAACACCCCAACCAGGAGCGTGGCCAGATGCGCGATGGCGTGGTTGCGATCCCTTTCAGCGTCGTCGTTGCGCCCAGCAGCAACCTGCGGGTTGCAAACGCAACACGGCCTCAAGATCCGATGGGGCCGTCCTTTCACATGCCCGCAAGTAGGAAGATGGTAGGCTTCCCCATGTGGGGTGCACGCCAAAGCCGGCTCCCGAGGGGACGGCTTCCTTCTTTTGCTGCATTCATTTCTTGCGGGCGCTCGGGCCGCTTTCCGATATGTCAAGGTTCCAAACAGAGCTGTCTGCAGCTTGGCCGCGAGGTTAAGAAGCCCATAGGCAGCCAAAGCGAGGAGAAGCCAAAATTCCCAGGCTCGGGCATTATCCTCTCCCTGGGCTTTCGTCTCGGAAGTCTGTCCTGCTCCCGGCGGCAAAGCTCCCAATAGGAGGCACCAGCAGAGTCTCTTTGATGCTCTGCGAGGAGAGCCGGGCGCGATGCGCGCCACGGCCACCCACACCAGCAGGCCCAGCAGCAGGACCAGGAGAAACATGGGGGGGCTTCCTCCCACCTCACCCTTGCCGCACCCTTCTGTGAGGGGGGTAGAAGCCGCTGCCACCGTTGCCCACAAAGCCCCTTTGGTTACCGGGGCAGTCTGCGTCTTTTTCTTTTTGGCTTCTCGCCTACGCTTCCTCCGGGCTTTCGATTTAGGCTGTCTCCCTGTAGACCGAGGCTTTTCTTGGCCCACCAGTTCTTGCCTGAACTCCCGAAGGTCCTGCGCAGCGGCCTTGCGGAGGTCGTCGTCCAGGAGATCGGCTGCCTCCTCTGGGTCCCGCTGACCCGATCCCGCCGCCCCGCGGGGCGCTTTGGGGGCTTGCGCTTGGTTGCGCGCGGCCCTTTCTCGAGCCCTCTGCGCTCTCCTCGCCACCCAGATAGGGACGCCTGCGGCAATGTCAGTTGACAAGCGGTTCGTGGTGATCAGGGCCGTGCCAGTGGTGGGACCAACAGGTTGCGTTTTTCAAATTCCCTCATAGCTGGCGATAGCCGGCCGAGGTATTCTTGTTGCTCTTGGGACAGGGCGCTCAGCCTCTGCCTTTCCTGGGCAGCGGACTCGAGCAACCCTTTGCGGCTGCTGGAGCGAGCTTCCGCAAGCTCTTCGAGCCTTTCAACCAACTCGGCCTTCTCTTCACCGGACCCTTGCACGGTTCGGAGGCGATCCGTGAGCCTCTCCCAGTTGTGGGCATCCGCCTCGGCAACAAGAGACAAGAGCAGCACCTTGGCGGTGCCCAGCATCAGCCGTTTGGGCCTTGGCTCCGGAGTGGTGCTCTTGGTCTCGAGCTTTTCCTCCTTCGGTTCCTCATACTTGACCGGCGCGGAGGCAGTGGCGCCCTCCATGCGGGCTCCCTGAGACTCCTGACCTTCCGACCCGAGCCCGGGCCCGGATCCTGAGGCGGGCTCCTTATTTCCTTCTCGCTTCGTCGGGCTCGACTCTTCAGCACTTTCTTCTGCATCCCAGTTTGGTTCGGATCCGAGGTCGATTTCCACGGGCGCGAAACGCGCCTCGGCGACTCCTTCCTTGACCACTTCGTGGGTCAAAGTCTGCGGGTCGACGGCCAAGACGTCGGACCCCCCCCCGCAGCCTGGGCGGCCGCCGCCAGAGTTCTGGCAACCTCAACGACCTCTTGCTTCAAGTCGTTGCTCTTGGCGTCCACCTCCCAGATTCCAAGCCGTGGAAAGCCATCTCGGCCCGCCACCTTCCCTTCGCTCTTGTCTCCACCTGGCAGGTTGTCCCACGGCTCAATGCCTTCAATGGCGGCGGCGGGGATGTCAGCGTCACAGAGGTAAACCTCATTTCCGGTCAGGCGGAAGGTGCAGCCCGCGACCATAGCCACCTGGGTGTCAATCAACACCTTGATTTCGAGGTCCGCTCGCCATCGACGGTGGTGGTTTTTGGGGTCTTGGAGGTGCACGTCTCTTCTGCGCCTCTTAATACCCTTCTGGCTGATGCTGGTCTGATGTCGCGCATATGATCCATGCACCAAGAGGCGTGGGACAGCATCTTCCGGTAACGGCCAAGCAGGACCGACCACGAAGGGAATGCTGTGGCCGCTCCACGCAGCCACCCAAGCTTCGTTGTCATGATCCGCAAGAGTGTACCGCTGCTTGTTGTCCCGTTGAACCAAGTCCCTCAAGTCTTTCTCTTGGGCGCCCAACCGGGCGACTTGGGGGTGTCCCATGAGCACCCGGAGCCGCATCCATCCTTCTTCAGTCATCGGGCTGGCTTCTGTGCCGCCCTCGTGTCGCAGCACCCGGCTGACGGCACCCGACAGGTCCCGCTTCCACTGCCAGTCGGCTTGCTTCCCCGACTTGCCTTTGTACCCTTTGCCCTGGTCGGATTGCACCGGATCGGACCCTTCGGGCCCCCTGTGCGACCTGGACCTTCTGTCTGACCCTTTGCCGCCGACGACTCTCTCGCGCTGTCGTTGTTCAACCCATCCAAGCATGGCTCGTTCAGCTTCATCCTCCCACGGGAGGGTGCAGACTCCAACCTTGTCCGTGGCGCTGGGATCGTCGGGGGTGGCGGGCGCGAAGCACGCCGCTCCACCCCCTGCCCAAAGCCCGGCTAACTTGGCCAGCCCCGTAGGTGGTTCGAGCAGGGCGTGCTTGGCGGCTTCGTCCGGATCGGACCGGGTCGACCTTTCTGGCTTCACACCCCAAAGGCGCTGCACCTCCACAGGCAGCAGGCGCCTGGGACTTGGCCCTTTCGTGCTTGTGCCAAGAAGATACAGGGCATCAGGTCTCCCTTCCTCGCAGGAATGCTGGTGCAGGGAAGACAAAGGGCGGTGAGGCTCCCACAGGAGTGCCCTTTTTCCATTTAACTTGAAATGGCCAGCGGGTCGGGGCGAGGTAGCTCCCAGGTGCGGCATTCCACTGTCAAGGTTGACCTCGCATGACACCCAGGCGTCGGCTGGGATCTGCTTGTCAGGCTGCAGCCAAGTCAGGTCATAGTACGCTTTGGCAGGGGTCTGAGGTTCTTCATCCGCGGAAAGGCAGGGCGGTTCGCGCGCAGCCCCTCCTCTTTTTCCGCAAACAACCCACCGCCTCCACCAAATTTGGTCTTCCAGCGTTCTGCCTGCCACGCATTTGACGAGGGTCTGATACCCAAGAGCTTCCAACCCTTGGGCACATTCCTTTGCTTCTCTTTCGGTCGGGGTGTCAGCCCAAACCTCCTTGGCCTGGGCGCGAGACGCGCCTCGAGCCAGCTCTGCCGCGCTAGTAGTTCTCGGACCAACGCGTCCGAACAGGAAATCAACCGGTTGGCCATCCCAGGCATCGACCGGGGTCCGCCAGTGCCCTCGACTAGAGTGGCTGGCATAGGCGACCGCGCCAAGGGACAGCACAGCCGCACTGTAGGCCCCATAGTCGCAGTCCCACTCCACGCAGACCTTGTCCAGCAGCGCCATGGCGAGTCCCGCGGGCACCCGTTCGAGCGCCGATTGCCTGAGCCCAGACAGCTGCAGGGCCAACTGTTGGTGGGTCTCTTCGGTGGACCAAATCAGGGCCCTTCTGTGCTACCCCCGATCCAGCAAAGCCCGAAAGTAAGCGGCCACATTTTCCAGTTCCTGCAGGCCTTCCCTTTGGAAGACCAAGCGGGGGTCCAGGCGAGTGAGATCATCCGCGGTGCGGTTGTGGTATGTGCGGATGTACGCTGTGTAGACTCGGAAGCCATAAACACTTTCCAAAACTGACAGAAGCTGGAGCAAATAAGCGGCAATAGCCCTGGGTGCTGTCCTTTTCTGCACCCAGCTCCGGACGACTTGGTTGTCTCCGGCATAAATCACCACTTTCCCCCTCCACTTTTCGCGCTGAACGGAAGCCAGGGCGACGAGGGCAAGAAGTTCGGTCACGGCCACGATCAGAGTCTCTTCTTCAGGGCCACCCTCTCCCTCGGCTTCCTGTGGGTCTTCCTCCTTGGAGGTCTCAACGAAGGTCCTCAAGGGGCCTTCCAGCTCCGCAATTTTGAGTGAGAAGGCGGACCTGTTGGTCCAGTCCACGGCTCCGATGGTTTCTAAGGTGGCGTCTCCAGATGCCCAGATCGCTTGCTTGGCCTGGCCCGGAAGGGCCAGGACTTCCTGAAGGGACAAAGCTTCCACCAGTGGGTGCGTGAACACCGTGGTCCACTCGCTTTTCATTTCGACGAGCAGTCTCTGGACCTCCACGGCTTCCCAAAACCTTTGCCAGGCGCGAGCCTGGACTGCCGGGGAACCCTTAGGGCGCGCGTACCCGTCGCTGTCCGCAGGGCCCAGAAGGGCATTGGTAGCCGAAAGAAGAGGTGCCAGGGCCGGCATAGCCGCGATCCAAAACTGCTGGTTTCCTCTGAGTTCCTGAAGCAAGCGCAACGGGACCTTAGTGTTCCCAGGGTCGAACTCCGTCAGGCGCAGCAGGTGGCTTGCCTTCTCCAATTTTACGGGAGGGAGAGTACGAGTGCCTTGTTCAGTATCATAAAGCAGACCCCAGATGAGCTTGGAACTCGTCAGCCCCCCTTCTTCAGCATCCTTGGCGGGGTTGATCGCCTCCGGGCCCAGCACACGCCGCGTGAGCTCTTCGACAGCCGTCACCGCATAATGCGGGCGAAGCCCTATATCTGGTTCGCAGATGATAGTATTATCCATAAGTACCAGGCTTCGGAAAGGCGTGGCATCATTCCACTCCGGGTCGTTGGGCTTCAGGCTGTGGAAGGCAGATTTGATTGTCCAGGCAAAGAGCATGAACTGGCCCGGTGCTCCTCTCCATCCAAAGGTGAGGACGTTGTACACCAGCACGATGGTGCTCCCCGGATGGCCAAAATCCTTCCCTCCGAGGTCAGCGGCAAACAGCCTGACATCATCGTCAGACACAGGTATCCATTTGAACGCTTCAGCGACGTCTTTCTTGGAGAGCAGAATGGGGAGAGCAGGGTACCGGGAGGCCCACCAAAGGAGCAACCTGGCCAATTCGGAATGGCGGGGCTGGAGAGCAGGAGGGTGGTCCTCCTTCGTGCACACTTTGTTCACGGCCGTGGCGTCCCAAATCACTCTTCCCTTGTTGCTCACCGTTCTGTCTGGGTTGTACTTTGGGACTCTTGCCAAGGGCGCGGAAACAACGCCTCTGAGGCCATCTTGCCCTCGGTCCACGACGATGAGGACCCTTCCTTTCTGAGCGTCGTTCCAAATTTGCTCCGCAGCCTCGTCCAGATGACCTTTCAGGCTGGGATGGGGGTTTGCGCGAACCCGTTCTCCTTCCTGCATATGAGCTCTGACCTCGACACCGTGTTTAGCAGTGCGCCGGGCCTCCTCGAGCAGTGAAGGGTGGACCAGGGGTTCCAGGTAGGTTTCATGGAGGCCAGCAAAGTGGTCTCCTCTCTTCCGTTGGCCCTCCTCACGCAAAACCTGCGTAGCCGCTTTCCAACCGTTGGCAGCTTCGAGCAGGGCACTGCCCAGGGTAGCGGCGTGACCGAGGGCCTCTCGGGAGTAGGGAGTCGAACTCACGAAATTGAAGTATCGTCTAACGGCCTCGGCCGCAGAATCACCGACCTTACTGTTGTTGTTCGCGGAAGCGAACTCCGGCCCCCCCCCCGACCCCGGGCGCGAAGCGCGCCTCAGGGCGAAAGAGGGTAGCCACGAACGAGGGCAGGTCTCCTGGGAGGGCAGGTGCACAAGCCAGGACCACTGGGTGCTGAGAATAAAGCCACAGAGGGCCGCGTTGGGGCAGCCATGCGGGCGGCACCCGCACCGGTGCGACGTGCGAGGCAAATTCGCGAACAGCAAGCCCCAGCGGGGCCGTGATCAGCAAAGCAGCCAGGACAGATTGGGGTACCGCACGGAGCAAAGCAGCGCGCCAACTGGCACTCCCAACGCCCAAGTCAAGCCAAAGGCCAACACAGCCGGGAACGGCGACCAAATGCTCAAGAACCGACAAGGAAGCGAGGAGCTGGTCGAAGGTGTGGTCACTGACCGAAACGGTCTGAAGCCCGGTGAGAGCAAGGCGTTCTGCGAGCGCGTTGACGTCGGGCCCAATACACAAGAGCCAAGGCCCGTCTGCGGGTGGGGTAAGGTCCAGGCGGTCCCACGCCGACGGTGGGTCCGGCGTCTGCCCGATCTTGGGCGCGAAGTTGTCCGGGGGCGTTAACGGGCTGAGCCCGAACACACTGATGCCCCAACCCGAGCAACGTTCCGGCGGGTATTTGGGCTGGCAAATGTGACAGCGGAGGACGTCCTGGGCTCGATACCAAGCCTCAGGGCATCCAGCTGCTTCCAAGTGGGGCTCCCAGCCAACCGCCTGGATTTGGCGCGCAGTCGAGGGCCAAACAAACGGGCGTGGCGGGTGGAGCAGGCGCATATGGCCCTGCGAAACAAGGAGCCAGATGGTAGATTCGGGGCTTGAATCGTAGTTGGCGCCAACCAGCACCTCGAGGGAGGTGCTGCCGCGATGGTCGACTCGAACGATAGCAAGAGCATAGGGTGCAAAGACCCGGTCGGGGAATGCCGCGAGACACCGGTAGTCCTTGTCGTGCCCCCAATGCAGCAGGTCGTGCGCATAAATGCGAAGGTCAGCTTCAGCGCGGGATAATTCGTCGGGCGTGGGCCCCAAAGCAGCTTGGGCTTCGTGCGCCTGCCCGTGTAATCGTTGTCTCACCGAAGTTGCCAGCTTCTCGACAGCCTCGGGCGTGGGTACTATCCCCGTTTCTGCGAGGAGCACCCCAGCACAGCTGTGAAGGAGCAGGCACTGCTTGGGTTCCGGGGCGTCTGAGGAGGTTTGTGCGGCGCCGACGATTTGAGAAAGGAAGTCTGCGGGAAGCAGCAGTTCATCTCCGAAGTCAATGGTCTGCCAGGTACCATACTGCCACTCAAGCGTTCCATACCCGATCAAACCGTCCCAACTGACAGGACTGAGAATCGCCGGCGCGGTGCTGCCGACCTTGCCGTAATCCCCGTAGGAGCTTAGAGCGTCCGCGGCTTGAGCAGCAAGTTCAGGACCTCCCTGGTCCCTGGCCGCTTCAAGAGCAGCAGTGACATGACTAACCGTCAGGTCACACGTGGGGTTCTGTTCCTTTTCACGCAAGAGGCAGCCCCGGACGTACGTTCCAAGGAGCTGTGGGAAGGCCGGAATACCGACGCTTTCAACTTGGGTCATAGCCTGGGCGCGATGACGCGCCTCGGGCTTGGCCAAGGTTGCTTCCCGGATATCGGGCCCAATTTCAGCGATTGCCGGTGTCGACTGATCCTGGTACCAAGTGTGATCAGCCCCCTTGGTCCACTCAGCGAGTTCCGCTTCCGCGTCAGTCGGTGCGAATTGAAGGAGTTCCTCGGGCGGTCGCGGAGGAGCCTGGCCTACCTTTGCGACAGGCGCGGTGTTGGTGGGCCTCGCTCCTTTCTTGTCTTTGTCCTTTCCAGCGGGAGGTGGCTTGGATTGTGTCTTCCCTTCGGCCACATTTTCGGCCGACTTGGTAGCGACACTGTTGCGGAGCTCCACAATGGCAGCCTCAACGTCCAGGGGGCTCAGCTTTTTGTTGCTTCGGAGTCCTCCGCGGCGAAGCAGCTGCATTTGAATGGACCAGTCGAAAGTATCCCATTTGGGAATTTTGCCAGCTTTAGGATGTTGGTGCGGGCACCCATTGCCCTGCTTGCATCCTCGGTGGCTGATGAAATCCCAACAGTAGTACTTTCCCGTATCCCGACATTTGGGTCGATGGTCGAGCGACCGAGAGGCCTCCTTGGTGGTCAGCGGTGGGCCGAGGAGCGCGGTTGTTTCTCCCTTCGCCGGTTTACCCGCTCTGGGATCAGATTCTCCGCCGGCCCGTCCGCCTTCTGTGGGCGTCTGGCCGAGGCTGGAAGCCTTCAAGGCTTGCTGCCAGCACGTCCTCGAGAGCATACGGTTGTGCCGGGGCAAGATGTCGGTATGGAAAAATTCGCTGTCCGAGTCCAGGTCGAACGTCTGGGGCAACCTTAGCCATGGGTTGCCTTCCACATCGGGAGCAGTAGCGAAAAACCTGATTCTTTCGAACGAGGGTGCCTCCTCCCCCATTTGACGCCGAAGATCCCGATCGAGCTGTTTCAACTCTTCCACGTACCGACTCCAAAGTTCTTCCCAGACATTGGCGATCCACTGGAGGGGCCAGGCGTATCCGACTTCTTCTCCCAAACGGAGGAGCTTGGTTGCAGCTCCTTCCCATTGGGGGTAGTGTTCAGTTCCATAAGCGCGCGAAAGTGCCCAAGCCATCCTCAAAGCGCATCTGAACCAAGCAGTGAGGGTAACTGGTCCTCTGGGTCTTTTTTCAAGCCTGAAATCCGTGGGCGGGGCAAAGGTGTCGAAGTCTGCCTCTGTCGTCAAGGGGAAATCTGCGGCTGAAAGACAAAATTCTGGTAAGGACTTGACTTCTTTCCCACCGATGTTCATAGATGCGATTCCAAATGCGATTCGATTGTTGATGTTGACTGGGAACTGCAGTGCCCGCATCTGAGGGCGGCCTTGCGACCCGGCAGTTTTGAGGGCGTGGAAGAGTTCCTTGCCAACAGTGGATGCGCACACCGGCACAGTCAAGGCGTCACATCCTCGCGCAAGGAAGACAAGGCGCTCCTCTGTCTTTCCGATGCTGCTGACCTTTCCCCGCTCCTGTCCCGCGGCCTCGTCTTTGCTCAACACCGCCTTGGCAATAGATTGCAAAGCCTTGGTCGCATCATCGACGGGTCTGGGTTCTGGGTCTGTAAAAGCTCCGGCCCTCCAAGGCCGAGCTGAAATGGCCAGGGATGACGCTCCGTCGAATGTTGGTGGTGCAGCGGCGAGAGTTGCCAAAGTTCCCTGCGCAGTTCCGTTTCCCGGCTTCTTCGACCGAAAGAAGGCGGCAGCTCCCGGTGTCTCCTGGGCTGGGACCCAGCTGGGCGCAGCAGGAGGCCGGCCCGGGCGCGAATCGCGCCTCAGGCCTGCCCTCCGACTCTTCTTCACGGACGGCGTTCGATCCTGGGGGACTCAGAAAGTGCCTGCCTGCGTCTCCTTGGAAATCAACTTCAAGTTGAAGAACTGGGTCCACAGGCGCCGGATTTGCCAAATCTTCGAGCGCCCTTCGACTGGCCGCCGGAAACGTGGCCGGCAGACGTGCGAGGTATTGTTGAGCGGTGGCCTTCAGGACGTTCGACAGATCCTGGTCCGAGAGCAGTGCCCAGGCACAGGCAGCCCTCGCATCTGAGTCGCTACCTCCCTGGCACCTGCTCCTGACGTAGTCGGCGAGGACCTGGCTCGCCTTGCCATCCTTGATTGGCTCTGCTGCCGCCACGGCTGACTCCTGGGCCGATTTGTTCGGCGGCAGCTCCTCACTTTCCGAGCTCTGCTTTCTTGCGTCCAATGTGGCTCTTGGCACGTGTGGTGGACGCTTTTCTTCCTTTGCGGCATGGAGCTTGCACAACTTGACATTCCGGTGCAAAACCCGCGCCGCCGAGTTGCACCCTTCGACGGCGCACCCCCTTAGGGCTTTCGACGCGACGTACCTGTCGCGATGCCTGTCGCATGCGTAGAAGTGATAACCTTCTTCGTCTACCTTCAACTCATCCCTACAGCTGACAGCCTCGTCAGGTTGTAGGAGTTTGATGGGAGTTTTCCGAGCCGCGTCTTTGCAAGGACCAAGGCAGAGGGGCTCGTTCCGGGCCTGATTATCTCCTGCCGCGAGAGCTATCTGATCAGCTTGGCAAGGATAGTCTTCTTCTCCTCCTTCAGATTCGGTCTCTGAATCGACGTGCAAATGCCGTTGCGATTGGGGGCCTGGGCCACCTGGGCGAGAAGCTCGCCTCCGGCAGCCCCTCGATCCCCTTCTACGGCAAACTTGGCACCCAAAGCAGCACACCCAACTAAGGAGTCTGCAAGTAATGCAACTCCAAAATGTGGTCACCGTCCAACAACGCGCCATAGGTCCTTTACCAGCTGCTTCTCGGAGGTCGACTTCAACGGTCCTTGCTACTACTGCGCTCAATGGGGCATGCACGTCTGCAGCTTCCGGAGCGGTGCATGGGGACGCGGAGCAAAGATAGACCCGGCAATTGGCAACCTCCAGTTGATTGCGCCAGTAACGATGTGAGCTCGAGTGCACTTCCGTGCAATCTGCCAAGTATCCGTGTCGATTGGTGCGTCCTCGGAGGTGCGCCACGGCTGCCCCATCCGACACGAGGAGGTCCAGGGGCTCTCGGTTTTCACTCCTTGCTCTCACCTGTTGCTGCACGTACTGCGCCGTCCAGGGTGTCCCCACATTCGGACCGACCCACTCCGGTCGAAAGGACCCAACCCCATGGAGGCTGACCACGTCGTGCCAAGTGCCTTGTCCGCGTAGGTATCGCCACAGAGCGAGGAAGTGTCGAAGGACTGGAAACAGAACCCAAGTTACAGTCCATACCCCCAGCTGCAGTAGAAACACCCCCACCACAGCCACAGCGAGCCAATACATCCAGCGTGCTGCGAATCCGAGCGAGGCACATAAGGTCCCACAGTAGGACAGACTGCTGTCTGCCAACCTGAGGAAGACCTTGATCCCAATCTTGTAGAACCAACCAAGCCCCCAAACCATCTCAAGGAAGGTGGCGCTTTGGAACCAGCCCCAAGACTTGGTATTCTCTTGGCGAGTTTCCGGGATTTTGCCCTTTCGTGGACTCCCCTCACCCCTTTCATTTTCGAGCCATTCCCACGTTGACCACCAACTTTCAGTGGCCTGGGTGGTCTCTTCCTTTGGCTCTAAGTTGTCGGCCGCTTGAGACCACCACAGGTCCAAGGAGTTTGTTGCTGCGATTCCATAGGTGATCAGCACACCTATTCCCACTCGCATGGCAACCCCCGGAGAGCCCTGTTGGCCCTAGCCCCTATACACCTTGAGCCTACAGGGTCAACGTAGGCAACTAAGAAACCCTACGAACGCAAGCTGTACGTACAATTATTGCGGTTGTTTCCGCATGCCCATCAACTTTGTCCCATTGGTCTCTAGTGCTCCCACTTCCCTCGTGCTCCTTGGTAGTGTGTGTGTGTGTGAAGTTCCTGCGCATGCCCTGTGTGGGTCAGGTCGCCCAGTCAGATTGGTTTGGAGGTCCCATTGTTCTCCTCCCCCCCTGCGCTGTTTGGGCCGTCCGGCCGTCGTGCGTCCGGTTTTTTTCTTCCTCTTGCCTTTCCAGGCTTGTCCCGGCTTCAGGCGGGTGCGTGTGTAACACCTGTAGAGGTCTGTAGAGACGCACTTATTTTCTTACTTGCTGTGGGCCAGGAGCCCGTGACTGTCGGTTCTTGCCAGCAAAGACCAAACAGCATGGGTTCGCAAGCGTACCTGCAAATTTCAACTTGGGTTTCACTTCAATTGCTACTGGCTAAAGCCCAGAACATGTGTGATCCAGAGTGCGCGCGCGCGCGCCAAAATCTCTGGTGTGTATGACTGTGTATGACTGTATTCTGGCGTTGCCTCCTGTATTGCGACAGGGAGAAACATGAAACACATCTATGTTTTGAAATTTATTGGGTTCTTCACTTGTGCTCAGGGTCGTTCTGCGTCCTTTCCTTGCCTCATAGTTCTCCAGACTTGAACTTGACGAACTTGTCATTTCATCCATCATGGCCTGAGGCAAGCACAGCTTGACCATGAAGTCATGGACCAGTATCGAATGCAAAAAAGCGTTCAACAAACCACAACTTGGTCGCTCTATGTCTTGGCTTGTCTTGGCGTGAAGACCTCCAACTCTTTGACCCAATCCAAGACGTGCGAAACCTCCTCCAAGCACAAACAGCAATCAAGGTCAGCTTAAAAAATACCCAAAACGAGATTGGAAAATAGTAGAAAATTGGAATGTGAGCCAATGAGTTGTCATGGTTGTTCTTGTTCTTGTTCTTCTTGTTCTTGTTCTTCCTGTTCTCGTTCCTGTTCTTGTTCCTGTTCTTGTTCCTGTTCTTGTTCCTGTTCTTGTTCCTGTTCTTGTTCCTGTTCCTCCTGTTGTTGTTGTTGATGCTGCTGCTGCTGCTTCTGCTGCTGCTGCTGCTGTTGGTGTTGTTGTTGTTGGTGTTGGTGTTGTTGTTGTTGTTGTTCTTGTTCTTGTTCGGTTGTGTCGCTGTCCTTGATGTAGCCGGCTGCTGCTGTTGTTGTTGGTGCTGCTGCTGCCGGTGTTGTTGTTTAGCAAAGCTGTTGAATTGCATGTGTGTTTGTTGATGTGGCGCTCTTAAGCTTTGCGCATGCCGACATTGGCCGATCCAAGGATGGTGCGCTGAGTGCTGTATGCTCAGCGCATGCGCAGTTGTATATTTCAGATCTTCATAGGTGGTGTATAAGATGCATGTCAGTATATAGTCAAGGCCTGTGCGTGCAGCCCTTGCTGTCAGATCTTTATCGCTCGTGTGTTTCTGAGCTCTGTGCATGCAGTCTGTGGTTTGAGATGTGCAGTGATGGCATGTTTGGGCACTGCGCATGCACAGTGAAATCGTGATTTTAATTGCTTGTTCTTCTGAATTTTGCGAAAGTCCGTCACTTTAGGTCTCGGTCCTGGAAACACTAATTTACCTTGGTCTTGTGAGCTTTCAATTCGATAGTTTGACCCTTCACAACTTTCAAAAACGTATCGATTTCATCTGATTTCGTCAGGGCAACTACACAGGCGGTTGCCCAGCAATGGGTCTGACAGTTGTGATTCTTGTGACTCTTGGCTTGCCGCTCTTGGAGATTGGATTGGTTGGCTCCTGAAGTTTAATTGTGTAGTTTCACGGTTTTGTTCCACGGTCTTGAATCATTTTGCCACTGTTTTGGTCGCATGACCTTGCCCAGCCTGCGCGTGGCGCGTGTATGAAAACTTCATGCTAGCGTTAAAGCGAAAACACCACACCACAGGGTACAGGGAAAGCGCCAATACAACTCATACACACACACAATATACACATAATTTCTACACATTGCCAGCTCCCTCCACACCACCATCCGGGGCAGGCTGGCCCCAAACCAGGGGCAAGGACAGAACAAATCAATCGAGGTTCAGGATCAGAGATCAATAAATCAGTCAGAACTCTCCGCCGCAAACCCCCTAAAAAGAATACAAAATAGAAATGACTTTGAAACGAAAGGTCGTTTGTCCCGATCCGAACACGCCAATGCGTCTTACAGCGTTCAAATAAAGGGTATGAATTTGGTCAGCACTTGCCGTGAACAAGCTAGCGTTGTGCCCAAAGCTAGACCAGGCATCTTTAAATGTCTGAAAAGCCCAATTGTGTCTCGGCCTACCACTTCTTCGATATGCTGGCTTTGCCAAAGCATGGTTTCCACCGATACACATATGTAATCATATATACATAATAAACATGTGCGAGAGATAGCAAAGAAACTGCTGCGAAGGGCTCACCTTCCCCCGGAAAAATACCACACACACACACATTTCATTCAATTTCCTGAAGGCGAGGGACTGATGTGCCTCGAATTTTGTGTCTGAATTTTATTGCCTTCCAGAAACGGTGACACGTGTTAAATTTTGTTAATCTTTTGAGATGTGCAGTGTAACCGTTCCCCGTCCATTGGCTGTAACATGCTGTAACGATCAGAACCTTTTTTGATAACTATAATGTCATACAATTAAATTTCTAAGATAATTATAATATAATATATAGATAGTGTTATACAGTAGTTGTACATCTCATCATCTCATCTCATCATCTCATTGTGTTTCTCCAGTCGGTGCTCTCCTCCAGTGTGTCGGATAGATCAATTCTTTCCAAGATCTGCTTCACCTCCTCCAAAGTTCTCAGAAAATGCTGCCTGAGTGCCGAAAAAGCGCTGAGTGTGTACCCGCTCTCTGCCAATCAATTGGGTGTGTCTGAAAATAGTGTACCCCTAAACCCAATGGTTAATGATCATTATCCCTATTAAATGGCTATTTAATTGGGAATATACCCTATTTTCAGACAAACCCAATTGGCTGCTTCTGACTGTCAAAGTTTTATCGCCTCTTGACAAATGTCCAGCCCAGCCAGCACATTGCTTTGTCATGTCGTTTTCTGAAAGTGTCTCAACATGTATCCGCCCCGCCCCTTCGTTGTTGGCCTGAGTCTTTCGGTTTCAACCTCGCAATTTCGGAGGCATGGATTATTCAGCACCTTCCAGTGACCATGTTTGCAATGTTTAGCAACGTTTCACCTTCAGGGCAGAAAAAAGCGAATTACCACCATAAAGGAACCAAAAAAAACGTGTGCTTTCCGTCATTTCTTTTCATAATCTTTTCATTTCCTCTCATATTCCCTGCATTTTCTTTAGATGTAGGTCAGAACCAATTTGGATTTCATTCCGATTTGATTTCGATCTATTACACTTTAAACCCTGTCCGAGTTTTTGCAGCAAGTTCCACTTCATGAAGATTTAACTTAAAAATCTGAATGTATTCTAAATGTGCTCTAGTTATTATTCACTTTAAGACTTTAAACACGGTAAGTAAAAATCGCCAAAAACCAAACAATGACTGGGGATTCCTCACAGTAGTACCACCCTTTACATTTATTTCAGGGGCCCCAAGGGCGCCTTGTTAATCCGAACGCCGCAATTGCGCCGCACATGTCGCATGGCCTCCGGGCCCTGCCGCCCTGCCTCTGCTTCGTTCTCGACGTGATCCGCGTCCATTCCAGCCTTTTAACATCGAAGCAGCTGACATATCATGTGAACACAGACTAACCGAATCTAAAGGACAAAAATCCGACTGAGCACTGAATTTTCCCTTCATGCTCCGAATCTGAAATGCTGTGAAGACAAAATCGAAATCGGATGGACCGATGCTTTTTTGTGGCACTTTCCATATTTGAGACCATAGAACATCACATGACAACGGTGACAACGGTGACTCATCTGGATTTTCGGATGCTGATTATGCAGGATCTTGGCCTACACAGTGAGCAAATCGCCTGCATTGTCGTCTCTGGCATCTGCTCTTTGGAGCTTGTTGAAGTAGCGGAGAGACGGCACACAGCAGCGCTCCCAGCCGATTCATCTGCAGCTTGGCTGCGGAAATCAACTCCTGAGTCTTGACATGTTTCCTTTGTGCCTGGGCCCATGCTACATGTTGAACTTGACAAACGAATACAACCGCCATCAAATGCCCAAGATTCCATTTTCAATATTTTTTGGGAGCTGAAATTTGGTACCTTCTAAGCTCTAGCTGGCTTTATTTTTCAGGGCAGAGGGCGCAATTTTTACGCAAACCCTTACCACTTCAACACTGTCTGCAAGACTTCCACTATGGTGCCCATGTCATGTTCTGCATTGCATAGGTCTATTCAACTGTGGGACAGTCAGCCTCCAAGTTCCCACGCAATTTTGCTTATTTGGTGTTTGACATGTTCTGATCAGAACATGCAAATCCGGGTTCCCAACCGCTCTGGCTCTGAGACATCTGGTCGATTGCAAGTCCGGCGATACTTGCTTTCCTTGCCGCGAGGAAACCTCCTTGATCAAACCAAACATGCATCCGGGATCCGGCCAACTGATGCCAACTGGGCAGGCAAAACATGGTGACATGGTCAAACTCATTCAACGTATTTCAACAATGATTGTCGACTGGTTGATATCCTGGACTTCAGACAGCTATAGCTTCAGCTTGGCACAATTTGGGTGTGTCTGAAAATAGTATACCCCTAAACCCAATGGTTAATGATCATTATCCCTATTAAATGGCTATTTCATTGGGAATATACCCTATTTTCAGACAAACCCATTTCGGTGTGACTGGTTCGACTTGCCTGACTGATTGTCGAACTGATGCTGCGGCTTGCTGGAACAGCGCCTTGAGCGATCGGTTCACGGATCCGTTGATCCAAAATCCCTTCGTCGAAGTGGGGGTTCATGGTGTTTCAACCCTGTTATCCATGTTATTCTGGGCATATTGAAAAGGAAACAATTGGATTCTGGATATAGCATTATAATTAAATTACAATGGATTATAGATCAACAAAAGTTCTTGGGCGCAAACTTGGCACAGCCGCAATGATGAAGTTTTTTAGAGGTTGGTAACATCAGTCAGCTTCAGAAATCGCAAACAGCAAGGAGGTGACAAGCCGTGCCAAAGGGGTGTCCAAATGGTGGCCAAATCAACCCCAACCTTCGATGAAAGCTCCTCCTGCGTTTCGCTCTTAGCATCACCTGGAAGTCAGCCACTATGTGCAAGAATCGGTAACAAAAATAAGGGATAAAACAGCATGACAAGATGCATGCGGATGTCTTTGCAAATTGCCATGAGGTTTCGTTGCATGTCACGCATGTCCATCAAACATTGATCTCCCCTGCAGAACTGATGGGTGGGAGCATGAAATGAGTAAGAGATAGGAAGAGGCCAGGGAATTTGTTGCAGTCTTGCTTCTTTGGGACATTTTGGGACACACCAGCCTACAGTGTAGGGCTAGCAAGTTAGCCAGACTTAGCCATGGTTTCCGTATACAGTATCTATATGTTGTATCTATCCTAGCTTTCGAGAGTTTACGCGTTCAGAGAGGATACCTAGGGTCTACCAAAAGGCAAGACCTGACAGAAGCACAGATCTTATCATTGGCTCCCAAGGACTTCCCCTTTGTGGCAAGTTAGGATAAGCAGGGTTGTTACAAGCATCTGATGCCAGTGAGGGCAGGAATCTCTTTACATATTTTGCATGAATCGCCCGACAAATTTCAACATACTCCACGCATTGCAGCTGATTGACAACTTGGAATGACAAATGATTTGAAGTCCACCTACAAGCTGCCCAAACGCTATGGCGGGTACATATGTATTGCATATTTTATACATTTGTGATCATGTGTGATCATTTGGTATCATTTGAAATCATTTGTGGTTATGCACGTGAATGTGGCCACTAGCACGTGATATTTCATGCGCTTATGCCATGTGCTCTCTATAAACCTGTCTGCCAATAGAAAATGCTTGTTGCGCCCCCATGTGGTTTCTATAAACCTGTCTGCCAATAGAAAATGCTTCTCACACCTTGTCACACCTTGTCACATGCATTTCTGTGCCTATAGTAAGCATTGCCTCATAAATCACCCGTCTAGACGAAGCTTGTCTCTGATTCCACGCTGCCCGGCAATGCCCTGTGAACCTGGCCTAGAAAGGACCGAGCCTGTGGAAACCGAAGCCGGAAAATTGCACTGGCATCGGTCTAAGATCACAAAAAATAAGTAAGAGATAGGAGGACAAGGGATGACAAAATGGATTGTATCCATCTGTATCCATCTTTATCCTGTCAGAGGGAAGAAATGGTGAGAACCAAAGCTGCACAGCACTGATCGTATGGAAGAAAGAGCTCTTTTCCAAGAAGTCTCAAATTGGTTAACCTTCTCAAGTCCCTACCTCGGTTCAAGAACTTTTCTGAAACTAGCCCAAAGTATGAAAAATGGATTTTGGCACTCCAATGATACCCTCTGGTTATGTCAAAATAGCTATTTAACATGGCCATTTATAGAGGATTTTCCCATGAAAAATGGTGATTTTCCATAGTTTTTTGTATGTTTAACAGAGGGTAAGTACTTTCCTACGGCAGTTTCATCAGCATTTCATGCCACGTTGGACCCGGTGCCTCACTGTAAATTTTCCGACCTCAAAACGCGCAGAGCTGAAACCGTTCCACGAATAGCAGAGGTTTCGGTTAAAAAGACGATGCTATTCATGATATATGATATATGATATATGAAAGAATATATGATGTATGTTAAATGTATGATATATGAAAATACATGGGTCATGACTGATGTCCCCATTTTTCACATCACCCAACCATGAATGGTTTTTGTGGTCAATGCCATGGCTACTTTTTCAGGTGATGTCCAATATTCCCAAAATGGGAGAGTTACCAACCCCGGAAATAGACGATGCAAGAATATGATAGAATCTACGAGCTTCATATCATTTCTGTGTTTACTTCACTTTGCATGCCAAATTCTTGTGCCGATTTTCCTTGTAACATCACGCAAACTCTTCAAACATGTTTGCAATGTCTTTTAGACAATCGGTGCCCATGTATCAGCACAGAATTCAGCAAAGGCCACCACGCACGGCTGGTTTAGCCACCTCAGGTTGAGTGATTGATCCACTATGGCCATACGCAGGCATCGGCCTAATGATTTACTTATTGATTTCCATTGTTGCACACACTTGCTCACACACGCTTTATATAATCTATAACACTATAATCCGTTGGTGGTATACTACCCCTCTGATTTTTTTTTCGTAAATTGGGATGATTATTCCCAACTTTTATTTATTTCCAACATATGGAAAAATAATAATCCAAATTTTCCAAGCCACCAACCAAAAAACACCTGGCGAAGGGATCACCGATACAAAACTTGGCGATTTTGGAACTGATGAATCACATATAATACATATTATATATTGCTATAGGTATACCCGAGTTATTAGTTACCAATTATGATTAAACCATATTAAAATTCTTTTGGATACATATACCCTCCAGTAAATCAACATAGACCCTGCCAGATAGGGGTTGGAAGACTAGTTTCCATTTAAAATTGGTTATTTTCAGGGTCTATGTTAATTTGCCAGAGGGTATAAGTTCATATAAGTATATAATGGTTTTGAGGGAAATACCCTGTAAGTCTATCTCAGGAGATCGATCCCCCCATCTTCAGAAAATCAATCCCAGCTACGGCCAAACATGTTTAGAAGTCTTCCTTGACAAAAATCGTTGGAAGAAACCAAACATATCACAACTACCCTCTGGTAAGCTATTGAACATGACCATTTATAGTTGATTTACCCATTAAAAATGGTGATTTTCCATAGCTATATTAGTTTACCAGAGGGTAACCAATGCAAAATGAACGAGTTCTGACTGTTGTCAACGAGTGTCTACGCAAAGCCTGTGCAGTGGCCAAAATCAGCCTACGCCACTGCACAACCTGCGCTGTCTGCATGGAAGCCTCCATCCCGGGCATAATACGTCTCGCAGAGTTCCCACTTTATTTACCGATGCCGAAAAACACTGCTCATTTCTTCTTGCATGACTTATGACTTTCACATGCCATGACATTGCATTTGAAGTTGCATAGCACATGCCCCAACATCACAAGTTTGCACATTCGAAGATGCGATGCTTTAAACACCTTTACATGTCAAGATTTTTTTTTCAGGACACCTGGGATCACATAAGAAAACGTGGTACCCTGCATGACATCATGTTTGAAGCTGTGGACAAGCTGTGGATAAACTGTGGTAGCCCATATCAAATTACATGAGAAGATGTGACAGTGTACATGACCTGATGTGACCTTTTCACATTTGAACATAATCAACAGGTGTTGCCTTCCTGTACAGCGTGACATTGGAAGACGACATTAGACGATATGGCATGACGTTGCAGACGTTGCATTTGAAGTGTGGCGATGTTCATCGGATAATATGGGAACAATTTGGAACATGTGACTGCTTACATTATTTGACGTTATATAAATCTCAAGATCTGGTGGGTCGCATGACATGCCGACGTTCTAAGGTGTGACTATTCATGACGCTTGAAGGTATGTTGTGGCACTGGATGTTGTTGTCGGGTTCAAGGTAGGGACAGGATGGACGTGAGCAAGCGCTGGATTCTTTTTACTTACTCTTCTTGTGTGCATTTTGTCATACTTGCACTTATCTAATCTTCGATTGTGCATTTTTACTTGCATGCTTGCGCACGTGTTTGCTAACTTCCGTGGTAATACAGCTGCTTCGCTTATTTGTTGCTGCTTTGGCAGGTGTCCCAACCTTTCCATGAATCGCGCGTGTCGAAGTGCTTTTGATGTGGCGCCGTTCTGTTTTTTTTAGCCGGATTTTCTGCGAAGTGGTGTGGCTGCACGCATGGCTGCTACAGTATATTGTGATTTATGTGCTCGTGCTGTGTTTTGGAATCCAATGATTCCGTTGAGTCATTTTGCTGCAGGGTTTGGCAGCATTTCCCTTGGTTTGGTCAAAAAAAATTGCACTTTTTTGGGCCTTGGCACCAAGATCCGGTGAAACTCAAGTTGTTCGGGTCTGTGCCGGTGGTGCTGTGTTTTTGGCGATAGCTCGGCGCAGTTGCTGTGTCTTTCACGTGCTAGTGCTGTTGTGTTTTGGTATAGCGTGTGTTTCGCATTTTCATGTATTTTCCATTTTTGGCAATTGCATAGCTGAAATCTTTTTTTAGCATAATATAGATGAATATAGTAATATATAATTAGTAGTAAATGGATGTAAATGGTGGATGTACTTGGTATTGGATGTACTTTTTGCGGCACATGAAATTTGGGGAACTCAATCCAGTGCTCCACGTCGTTTTTTGTTTCGCCAAGGCGAATTGCTGCACCCGAGGTGACTTTTTATGTGTGCCATTGTGTGCCTGCTGCTAGTAACACGTGTAGTAACCTA